TCAGATAAAATAAAAGGCTCAGAGTTAAAAATGACGATTTTATTCTGCTCTAAAGCCAAGTTCTGACGATAATACCCACATCGCCTACATTTACAGAAGGGTGTTAAATGTGCACGGCAGGATGTCATTTCACAAAGTTTGTGGATGTAATATATGGACTAGGTAATGAGTTGAAAAAGCAGTTATTGAGGAATTTAACACCCTCCTGGCGACTTGGGAGGTCAGTGTGTACAAGTAACATCAGTGGCAAATCACCAAGAAGCGGTAAAGGGAAAAGGAAAAAGGCAACTAAAAGACAAGCCATTTTAAGTTGTGTTAGGGGAAGAAGAGTATCACGTTAAGTGTGTGAAATGAAAGTTGTAACAATGTTTATGACAGTTAATAAAGTGTTTATTCATTGAGGTCTCCTTTGGCAAAATGGTACACCAAAACCACAGCAAACCACAAGATTTTTCCCACTCGAGTGATAGAGGAATAGGACATTGCAGCTGCAGTATGAGATCCTCCCTTGGAACAAAGATTGTTCACACACGTGGTTCCAGGTGGACATTGACTGCAACTGGTACCATTTGTATACGGTTTCACACCTATATAGTTGCCCCTGAAACAAAGACATCAGGATGATTTACCAGTCCACAATTCTAGCTGAAAACAATTCTGTATTATCTCACTTACGGTGGATTATACTGACACGCCATGAGGAAGATAGGCTTTGGCCACTCTGGTTTTATGTCATCACACTGTTGAAATGCACACCCAACCTCCTCGGACGTCGCCCACACCATCTACTTTTCACAGAGAAAATACCATCTTTATGAGGGTCATGACAGATAAAGTATCCAGTAAGTAAAACAGGAGTTTATGGTTCATAAGTTGCTCATTTGGCCACACAGCCTTCATTTTAAATCAACAGAAGTTGAACATTCAGTGAATTGCAAGCTAATAGAATAGCTGTATTCCTTTTTTACTGGAAAGTAATTGGCTCGCCTGGGTGTAATGCCCACAGTCTTTATCAGGCACACAAGTGTTGGTGTCATAGATGTAATCCTTCACCTCTCCCCACCACTCAGTCGCCATCTTGACCAAATCGCGACTAGAACCTCCTGACAGTGCAAGATTTTGCCCGTAATCCCCGTATTCAGGGTGTTCCTTCACATCTGGGTGTGCGTATATACACTTCTCTACCCAGTCAGCTGCCACCTTTTCCAACTTTGTACTGTACACCTTTAAGAACATGCCACAAGATTATCATCAGCCGTGACTACTTACAACCTCTGATACAGCACGAGAAAGTACAGAGTTAACTTAAGGTGCTTCAAGGAATTCACTTATGATAATGCAAAAGATGGGCAGGCGTGTAGCTGTAATTTTCGCACAAATGAGAAACCCACCATTTCCATCATATTCGTGGAGGAGGGTTCTACAGATGCTCGTTTATTGTTGTGTAAATCAAGAAGAGCCTTGCGCTCCTGCTCTGTTGGAGTTTCAGAGGTAACAAGTGTTATCAAAACCATGGCATAAGTAAACCTGGCCATTGTGTCTAAAGTAAAATAGGAGTAAGCAACCAGTCGATTCCACGCTGTCAAGGTTGGCGAGCTCACAACCACAGCAAGTGGCGTCTAATGTGTAACATATGGAATGCGCTGCAAGCCATTAGTTTAAGGCTAGTTCGTAAATAGTGAGAATTCTTAATTGAGGTGACGTTTCCAAGTGATGAATTAATTCCGGTGTAAGATATTATAATAAGAATTTAACGGATTAAATATAATCCAGGCTAAACTTTCTGTAAATAGTTAAATACTTTCGTTGAAAGCTTTTATGTATCCTCACACCATCGACTGTCACTTGTATCTCAGCTTGAAATTTCCAACAATGGAGTCCTGGGACTTACAAATATCTCATTATTTCCCCTGATGAGGCTCAATTTTGACACTCCCACAATAAATCAGATGAAGCTATGGACGATATTTACGTCGAGCAAAATCTACTTGACTACTAGGACTACTGTGCCAGGCAAAACGCAAAACCTGTACCTGCATTCTAAATTATCCACAAATCGCATTAAAAGTGCGTTATTGTTGCTGTAAATAAAAGAATGAAACATTTACATTTAAGGATGTTCATTTTCGAGGGCCGGTGCTTTGTTTTTGCTGTCGCAAATTCCCTCAATTTTGAAGAGCTTTGAAAACAATCAATAGGACCGGCACATTTTAAATATGGTGCGTGAAAACGCACCTTTGATGCATGCTTTTGATGTAACATAACAACAGTAACTTATGGCGCTAGGAAGAAGCAGCGCTGACAACTCAATGATAAAAAACTTCATGTTGAGAAAATTCAGGCCTCTAAAAAGTTTAACATTCCTAATGACTTTTTTCACCTTCAAATATACTACATATGAAACAGAGGAGAGTGAAATTATTGTAGAGCTAAAAGTTTGTCTAATAGATTAAAAGGTTATAATCCTAGGACAGAGCGTACATTGCCCGACGCACCGAAGGGACGGGAGTGGGAGCTACGGGCATGGTTCGGGGGCCATGCTGCCAGTGAAGGTACAATGGTGGAGACTTACGTACCCGCGAAACCCAAATGAGGATTTAAACTAACAAGTACTGTACTACATAACCATCCTCTCATCCTCTGGGCATCGTCTCCGCAGTTTCCCTTGGATACACTTCTGCGTCAGGTATCGCATCAAGAATAACACTCTAGACTCAACTATGTCGTTTATTGAATTTGTGTACAACTGAGATGGCACTTTGCTGCAACGTCAATGACTACACTTGGCATTCCTACTAGTTTTGGACTTCCGTCCTGTTAGGAAACTGCACTGACGGAGGGAGGGTGGAAGGGCAAGTTCCACTTATCTCCTATCTGCACCGCTAGCAGTAAGAACAC